TGTCCACGCTCATTCTGCGCCTCAGCATTTCATTGCTGCCATCGGCCAGGGACAGATGCACATCTGTAGAATACAGATTTAGTGAGGCTGGATTAGGGGATGATTTAACTTTGGGTATGTGAAGTTTACCAAAAACCCAGAGACATTTAAATGTGGTTTTAACCTTATTTTTCCCAACAATTCTTAGCTGTTGCTTGGAAGCAACAGCCTTTACATACCTAAAGAGGCTGTGAATATTAGCTTTTCAGAAACCCTTCTTGCAGCCTGACACAGCTGCACTTCTGGTTTACATTGGGAAGGTTTGACACCTTAGCAATATAAAGTTATAGGTTTTATCCCTAAAACTTCCCCAAATGCAGTTTCCATGATTAACACAATGGTGACAGCTCTAGCTTGTTTATATTGCTTCACCTGGGGCACATAAACTTAAAGGACTGAAAATACCTCCGTGCAATAAAAGCATTTTATATAATTGCTACCTCTTGCTGTAAGGGACAGCTGGCCTTTGAAAGTTGGGAACTCATTTACGTCAGTGAAGTAAAATGTAAGCCTGGGGTTTAAATGACTGTAATTTATGTTGCTGAAGCTCAAAACACAAATATGGCTGTCCAAAGGGCAAATACCTTTCCAAACACATTGATACTCATAATTCAACTTGGAGAGTTTGTACGTCTACAGTTCCCTGATGGGAGGCTACCAAAGGCTGTCCAGCATTGCTGTTTTCTTCTGATGCTTATTCTCTTATGTTAAAATCTCTATGGACAGCTGCCTAATTCAGCTGCTTTAACTTGTTTGTAACCTGCTGTGCCACATCTCTGTGCAGTCATCAGGGATGGTGGCCCACAGGGAATGAGTTTAGACTTAAACAGGGGAAGTTCAGGTTAGATATAAAGCAGTTCTTTACTGTGAGGGTGGTGAGGCACTGGAATGGGTTGGCCAAAGAAGTGGTGAATGCTCCAGTCTTGGCTGTGTTCAAAGCTGGGTTGGACAGAGCCTTGGGTGAGATGGTTTAGTGTGAGGTGTCCCTGCCCATGGCAGCGGGTTGGAACTGGATGATCTTAAGGTCCCTTCCAACCCAAACCATCCTATGATTCTATGCATCCCGAAGCTGACACCGTTGTCACTGGGGGCTCCCATGGGTCCAGCCCACCAGATAGATGTGGCAGTGGCTGGGTCATTGAAGCATCTCTCATCACTGAGAATAGCTGATGTCTGGTGGCTGGACAAAAATCAGCATCCTGTGAGCAGAACAGCTAGAAATCACCCCGCGGCTCTTGTGCTGAGCATTTTCCTGTCGCTGTCTCTAAGCATTTGTCTGAACACCATTTATATACTTTGGGTTTAGGGCTTGGTTCCAAACAGATGTTCTTATTTAGCTTTTTAATTTTTAATTTTTCTTTTTTTCTTCATTTACAACACTGAAAATCTCTCTGGAACGGGCTGACACCAAAAATGTTTGTTCTGCTCTTTGGATGAAAGCACTCAGCCATGGCCCATGCTTTTATGATTTGTGAATTCACCAACACTTCCTATGGCATTGCAAAACAGCAGTGACAAAAACAGGTTCAACCACAGCTTCCTTGGAGCAAATTCCAGGCTTGGAGCTCTGCTGCAAGCTTGCACAGTGGAGCCTGCATTGATTTAGAAGGTGTATTTCCAAATCTCACTTGTGGCGTGATCACGCTGTACTTTGGCACCCTCCAACACTCCTCATTTGCTTTCAATATATATATTCAGATGTGCCTGTGACTTAAAAATCATTTCATTTTCATCATCGTCAAGAGTTTGGTTGCGCTGCTTATTGTAGCTCAGATGACAAGAGGAAACGGCAGATTGGATAGTATACGTGTGAACACATATAACCAGGTTTTAGTGCAAGAAGACTATAGAAGGTGAATTCAAGTTTCACCTGGGCACCGTGTGGATGAAGTCGATTCCTTCCCTTAAAGCACTTTTCATGCAAACCTGAGCAGCACATCAGAGTGTTACTGGGGTTCTATCTAATGTGCTGGCCTGGGAATGCCATGGCTTACTGGAGACCCTGTGTTAGCTGCTGTGGGACAAAACATCTCTTCTCCATAGAGGCTCTCCCCCTCACATGGGCACACAGACACTGAGGGAGTGAGGCAGGAGGGGATCCTGGCCGTGCCACGAGCTCGCAGCAGTTTTCAGGCTAACCCTTGCTTATGGATTCTTTTTCCTTCAGAATCACCGTGGAAGTATTGAGGAGGGAATTCGGGAAAACCACAGAAGTAGCTTGAGAAAACGTGTTTGGAGTCCTGCTCCCGAGCGAGAAGAGGATCCTGAACGCAAGCCCAGTCCTTCCTTCCCAGCACAAGTGCAGCACCCGGGCCCCCGGGATGTGCTGTCATGTCCCGGGAATGCGCTTCCTGGACACGCTGCATCCACCTCCCTCTTGCCCATCGCTGCTCTGGCCAAGGCTGCTCCATGGGGAGGCACAGCCTCATGCTGGGGAGCGCAGAAGGACCAGCACCAAAGGGCAAGACCTTTTCACTGTGTTTTGGAGGAGCACAGCTGCCTGCAGCTGCGGTAAAGAGTGAATATGGATCAGACCCCCGCGTTAAAACCCCATAGTGTGAACTATCTCAGCCTGCACCAAGGGGCAGTGGTGGACCTGCTTCCAGCTGCACCATTGAAGCTTGCCAGAGGCAAATGAGCTGAAGCTTGAGCGAATGCAAAGCTAGGGAGCTGCTGCACCCAAGAATCGTCCCTTGAGAGGAAACAGGCACAGATGCCAGATGAAGAATATATTCCCTAAAATACATTGAATGGTGAACTGGCCCATCAAGTATGAACCATCAGTGTCGTGTGTGCATGGAGGCGGTGGTGGGGCTGGCAACCCAAAAAGCATTTTCCTTTCTTGCTCCCTTTCAGGGATGAGTGTCATGGGATGCAATGGAAGTTTAATGTGTTTCTAAGAGGACACAATAATGAGGTTTGCTGCCAAGCAGGGGCTTGTCCCTTCCTGGGGACTAACTGATGGAGGTGACTGCTGTGTCCAGGGACCGTGCTCAGGGTCCAGACCATTCTTTCCCTGTATCACTGGTATATTTTCTTCTTTACCTGCCCAGAAACAGCTGTGGATGCTGAGAATTTAAAGCCTAAACCTTAAGATCTATCGTGGCTGAAATGTCTATAAACACCTCGAGTCTCTTCAGAGACCTCTGTGCTTGCCAAACTCTGCAGCTTACTCGTACATCTCATTATATGTGGTGCTTTTCTCCTTCCTGCAGCCCGTGATTATGTGAGAACTGCAGGAAAAGTAAGTTTAAAGACTTCAGGACATCCTCAATGTCTAAACTGGAAAAGGAGAGGAAGAAACTCTAATTAAGAATTATTTAAGATAACCTCAAGACTTGGAGCCTGTCTGCAGCTTTTTTCCATCACTGGCACTTATCAATATTGAAATAGTATGAGAATTTTTTCATCTTATTTTCTAGGTTAGTAACCCAAGACCACTGGTTGCTCAGCTGAAATCTGCTGGATATTAATCACCAGATCCTGTGGTTTGTGGCTGAAATGAATCTGATTAGAAAACAGAAAGAATCAATAACCGAACTGAAATAGGTGGCTCAGAGGAGTCAAATTCTCTTTTGGAGTAGAAATACATATGCATAGCTGCCTGGGATGTGACTGTCCATTAGAATGGATCTAGTATTAAATAAGCGATATCTTCTATGTGTGTGTGTATGTTAAGAGGATGTATATCCTTGCTCCAAGGATATACAAGGGACAATATCTGCTTGGATTTTGTCTGGAACAGAAACTGCATTTTTAATTCCTTTTCAGGGCTGGGTCTCACTCAGTATGGTTTGGGGGCTGCAGAGCTGCATAGCATCATCTATCCACAGGTATGTTCTCCTAAGCAGTAGGTACTGTATCTGGGTCTGTCTATGTAACGTTTGTCTTAGGATCAGGATTTTAATCAAACATCCCAATCATCTCCACTTAGGGCAGTTTGGGCTGTGCCATGGAGTGGTGCTGCAGCACAGGAACTGGGTGGCTTTAGGAGGATGCCAGACCAGATAATGTGCTCCAGCTCACCTAAACACATGGGTCACTAATGATCACCCAGTACCCAGACCAATCCCTGCTGAAAATATCTAGTACAGACACCCACTTCTTAGACCTGCTTGCTAAAGCTAATGTAGATGTAGATGCTAACTGTGCTCTGCCTAGAAACTCTCCTGCAGCCATAATCAGCCCTCAGCTCGTGGGGATCCACTTTACCTTTCTACAGCAATGCTATTCGTGTCAATACCAAACAAGAAGAGACATTTATCGTTTTAGGGGCTTTCCACCATTTATCTTCCCATCCCCTCTTTCCTCCCCACAGGTGTACACTTGATACACACACTTTTCTCCAGGGAAAGAACTCACTTTTGTGGCGGATGGGAATGCTGACCCACTTGCCTTCTGCTGCAAGCATCCATCACACCCAGCCTCTGTGTCCCCTGGAGCCTTAATTTTCCTCTTGACAGCAGAGACAAATGACTCCCCCCGGGCTGTTTGCTCATGTCTACTCAGGGTTTCCGTGATGTTTCTTGAAGATGACCTGTTTTTGAAGCACACACAGTGAGTTTTCCTTCCACTGCCACCTACCAGTGTGAAGGCAGAGAGAGATTTGTCTTAAGCAAATGTTATGGTGCCAGTCCCCACCATATCCTCCCTCTCTGCTTCCTGCTTTAGGCTTCTTCTGCTTCCTAGATGTGGTTTCTAATATCCCCCATTTTCCCACGCACTGGGAACATTTGCTGTGAAGACAGGACATAGTAATCACCAACTTCACCAATAGCTGGGCAGTTCATCTCCTTCACATTAGCGCTTTTAGGGCTTTAATGTACTTTAGGATTCTTATTTTCTGTTTCCTTACTGATAAGATATTTCTGGAAACAACAGCACATTCATATCTGCCTCAAAGGCAATTTCTTTCCCAGTAATGTCACCTAGAAGCAGATTAAATCAGTGGCCACCCACTTGCCAGCCCTCTGCCTGCTTGCAGGTAGTTTATTCTCTGCAAAGCAGTGCCTTGAAATCAGTTCTCTCCAGCCACATCAATGAACCTGAACTCCATGTGCTCCAGCTCGCTGCAGACCTGGGAAGGCAGGGAAACAACGCAGGGAAACAGGAGGTGGTTTGTTATTGAAGTCTGCATGATGAGGCATGCAGGGAAATAGGGACGAAGAAACTTAAATTCCTCAGTGTTCTACTTTTGGAGAGCCTGCCTTTGCAATGTGGCTTTTTAATGTCATCCTTGGCAAAATGTCCTTCCCTTTATTTCCCTCCTCCCAGAAAACACTAAGCCACCCTGCAGTATCATATGCAGAGTTAGCCTGCCTTGGCACTGGGAAATACCCAACACCCTGATTTGTAAGGAATGCTGCCAGCCCTGGCTATGATTAAATCCCCATAAATATAAAGGCACTCTGGCCAGATTCGTCCTGGTGTTGAAAGAGAGAAGAATGTGGCTGTCACTTTCCAGATGCCCTTGGCACAAGGGTTTTCCAATCATCCAGGACATCCTGAATATGGGAAGCAGTGCTGGACCACCTGCATGCTGGCTGTGCCCAGCAGCCGGCACATTCCTCCAAGTACCAGCACTTCCAAACACAGCAGAACAGCCCTGAGGTTACACAGAGCCTGTCTGATCCCACCTCAGTGTCCCCAGGGCTCCATATGCTGCCATGGGACCTTCTTCTACACCGGAACAAGCTCCTTGTTCACATGAAAACCATGCAACCCAGGCACACCACCATACAACAGCCCCCCTTGGCTATTGAATGCAATAATCACATCCTGAGTTACTGTGCAAAGGGAAAAGGGCTCTCTTAAACCCACTGCTTTGTCCTTTTACCATTTGTGTATGGGGCTGCTTAATATATATTGACTAATTTAAACAACCCACATGCCATAACATGCCCCCAGACATTTAGTTGAGCATCCCCAGATTTGTTTTGCGTGTTTATCCTTATGTTCATTAGGAACATGAACGTTCTTTGCCTTCACCCTGTGCCTCTCAGCGTTATTTTATAGAAATTCCCATTTCCTGCCCTGAAAGAAGCCCTGATGATAATGAGAGGCTTGAAGCTTTTCAAACAACCAAAAACCCCACAATTTGAGTCAATTCTGCATTTTGTTCTTAATCAAAACTAGTTGTGTGCATTTGCATCAACAATGAGCTCAGCACACAATGCTCCATATGGGCTTGGCTGCTGGCATTCACTGAAAGGCAGGAGCCACTGAAAAAGCTCCCTGGTTCTCAAAGATTTAGGGATGACCTTGCAGAAGTGTCATTTGTCACTGCCTTGTCCAGGATCGCTGGAAGAATCCCTGCAAACATGCTATGGAATCGCAGAGCCCAATTCTCACATCGCCAAAGCAGCGCGGCAGCACTTACCTACAGGGAAACAGTGGGAAATATCAAACTGGAAGTTTTCAGTGGGAAATGTCAAACTGGAAGCTTTCAGTGGAGCCCCAAACTATTTTATTCATGATGCTTTATCTGGATATTGGTCTTCCACTTCAGCTGTTACTCATTTTTTAGGCCCACTATTTCAACTCGGTTTATACCGAGCCTACCATAAATATGAATACAAACAAGCTACGGTCCATTAACCTGGACACCTATTTGCAATTCTAAAGTGCCTAAACCACTTGGAAACAGCCCAAAAACTTTTACTGCTCCCCAGTTCTGACCTGATCTTCCAGAACTCCCTTCTTACTAATTCCAGTCAAGTTACACCCAGGAGGGGGTGTCCACGTACGTGCAGGTTTAGGACCAGGTCCCCGTTTCTGAGCACATTAATAGCACCCAGAAGGGCCGTGGTGCTCAGGCTTTGCAGGTCTGTTCTGCAGAGCATGAACAATCAGGAGAAGTGGGGATGGTGACTTGCACAGGCATCCCTGGACGTGCTGTCGTGAGTGGCTGGACGAGTTCTGCCCGGAAAGGATTTATTTCCACTTATTCTGGTCTTGCGGCTGTGAGAGGCTTGCAAAACCTTTCACCTTCTTTCCCTGGAGTCGTGTATATTTTATGAGAAATCTAAGAATTACCTCTTATTAAAATGGGGATAGTGTAATTACCAATAAAAAGCAGATGTTATGGCATGACTAACGCTTGAAAACGTGTATGTAGCAAGCGCAACATACCAGCACATCCAGGCTTTTCAGTAAGATAATAAAAGTTGTCTTTGTTGAAGCTAACTGGCCAAGTCGCAGGGAAATCATGATGGAAAACACTAAAAGGCTCCATGAAAGGGCAGCTCTGCTCCCACCGATCTCAGCAGCAAAATGTAAGTCCAGAAGGTTGAAATGGAAGCTCCCCATCGCCTTGCTCACATCAGGTGTCTGGATAGGTGTGCTGCTAAAGGACCTGGACTCACCATGCTGAGAGCATCTTTCCCCCATAAGCCATAATGAGCTGTAATTAGTGAACTCCCTGACACCACCAGCACCTCTTGGGGGTCCTCAACCCACCTGCAGCAGTCAAGATCATTCCCTTGGATCAGTCCCAAGCATTTTGGCAAGGATCCGGAGCAATCCGCGTAGGCTGACTTTGGAAACAGGAATGCAAACATGTAAATGGAGTTGTTCAGCAAATCTGCTCAAGGAGTCCTGGGGTTCACAAACTTCTTCTGAGCTCGGAAATTCCCTTCCCTTCCTTCCTGGAAAATTACATTTATTGCCTTTTTTTTTTTGCCATAAATGTAACTTTAAAGACACACTTAGTTTGTAAAGGAGCATTCACAGAATGGTTTGGGTTGGAAGGGACCTTAAAGCTCATCTGGTTCCAGCCCCTGCCACGGGCAGGGACCCCTTCCACTAGAGCAGCTTGCTCCAAGCCCCTGTGTCCAACCTGGCCTTGAACACTGCCAGGGATGGGGCAGCCACAGCTTCTCTGGGCACCCTGTGCCAGCGCCTCAGCACTCTCACAGTAAGGAATTTCTTCCTTATATCTAACCTAAATCTCCACTGTTTAAGTTTGAACCCATTATCCCTTGTCTGTATATGACGTAAATGTAATATTTCAATTTAAAGCAAAAGAAAGTATCCAAATCCTTAACCTATTCTTGGCCCTGCAGGAATGTCAGCTCACTGGAGAAACCTCCTGCCATGTGCTGGGCTTTGCTGCAGGCTGGAGGGGTTTCTTACTTTGGTTTGTACCAGTATTACCTCTGTCATTCTGTGAAATGAAACTAAGACATATGCATAAGCAGCCTTGACAGCAATTAGTTCTGGCAGGATCTTTGTGGTGATGAATTTCAATGAAGCTGAGGTTTTGGGTGCCTGAACACTTCATTAGCTGCTGGTATATCACACTGATGCAGTTGAGAAATCACATTATAATAAACCACTTTTTACTGCAGGCAGCAACCGGGATTATAAATAGGATGAATAATAATATAGTCCATTCAAAATCATTCCCGTGCTTCAGAGCCCTGGAATTTCAGTAAATAGATCAAATGCTATGTGGGAATGAATCTTATGCTGAATTTCTCTATTAGCCGGGTATTTATGAGCGTTTTTAATGTATTGTCAGAGGAGCTGCTCCGCTCTATTACACTTGCCAGTTAAACACTGAAATAGATACATGGTGATGCAGTAATAAGAAAATCATCTGTCATTTAGCAAACAATATTTGAAGCCTGAACGGAGGGAAATAGATGATAACTATTCCAATGTGAAAGCCCAGGAAGTATTTGCTTCTATACATTTACAGGATATATTCTTTTTATTTAAAGTATGGAAACAGTTTGAAAATGCCTTAAAAAGCACAGCAGAGGCATTCCTGAGATTTCCTCTATGCTTATAAACCGGAGGGAGATGCATTATAATGCCATGGTGAAATGATATTTTTGCTTATCACTGTCTTTGCAGCGATTAGTATGAAAATAGACAAAAAATGAACTCATTTGATGCTATTTCTGTTGAAATTTATTCTTTTGAATGTGTGTCACTTTGGCTGCTGATTGCTTGGTTGGGAGTCCATCAAACAGGGTCTCCTGTTCCAGTGAAGGACAAGGTGGAGGAAGGAGAAGGTTGGTTTGTTAGGGCTTATCTCCGTAGTTCGGTACCTCACTGGCAGGAATAAAGGGAACTGATGCTTCTTTAGAAGGAAGCCAGGCCACTTGTGAGCATCCCAGTAAACCCAGGATGCCCATAAGACTGTACTGGGGAGGAGGAAGGGGATGGCTCTGCCAGCAGCAAGTTGGGGGTGGGTGGGGTGTCCCCCCCTTCTGATGCTGCCCTGGAACCCCATCACCAAGGCAACCAGGCTGGCACAGAACGATGCTCCCCCCACAGGCTTTCCCTTCCTGGCTGCTTCTTGGGCACTTGGTAACTATAAAACCATCCTTTTCTCACTATGTAAAACAGATGGGTTGTGGTTATGATAACCAAGGTGTAGATTCAGGCCTGCTTGAATGAGATATTGGTTGGACATCCTTAAAATGCAAAATCCCTCAGAGACAGGTCTTTGATTAGAAAAAAGGCAGAAGAAAGTCAGCGGGGATGGGGAATTAACAGCACCAGAGTAGCAAACAGCCATGAGGCAGACGATTTTTATAGTGAAAAACTATTTGTGTGTATCTATAACAGAAATATGACCTTTTTTTTTCAATGAAACAGTGTCTTATACTAGTGGTGATCTGATATCTCAAATAAAGACAGAGATAAAACTGGAGCTGAACGGAAACATCAAGCCCAGATTCTTTCAAAGACTTGAATTACGTGTGCCAGTTTTGCTGTGTGGAAAGCTCAAAAAGAAAATACCTCAAGAAGAAGAGGATTCTACAGATTTATTTCTTTTCAGGCTCTACCCAAACGTTAATGTTCTTCCATTTCCAGAATGGCCACGAGCCCTGCTGATGCACCAAGAATCTCAGGAGGCCGTAAATCACCCTAAATAGCCCAAGCCTGTGGGAGTCCCATTTCTTTGCTCTGGAATCTGCCAAGGCAGCTCATGAAATCAGATGTAAGTTTAACCTCAAAGCAGTGCCTCTGTGGGCCATGGTTTCATACAGTGCCAAACAGTAGCCTCTCAAAAACAAGGTAGCAGGACGTGGAGACTGGGGTTTAATTTCCGAAGCCTGGTTATTGCTGTTAAACGTGAAATCTCATGCTTTCCCTGTGTGAGCTACTAAAGACTGCTTGAGAGTATAGGAACTAACTTGGTATTTAAATTTAATCGAAAACCTCACATGAGAAACAACTTGAAGATTCAAAAAGGAAGAGCTGGAAGATAATGTAAAATCCTTACAATCCTCCATCTTCTCATTGGCCTCATCATCTCTTAGCAGTGGCCGATGTGCCATGCCCTGGGTGGAGAGCAGAACAGGTTAATATTGGTGATTGATTTTGCTATTGGCTCTTGTCCATTAATAGCATAATTTTATCATATTTGACCAATTACTGATTTCTTCCAGGAGCTTCCTGGAGATCTGGAGACAGGGAATGAAACCACTTCCCCACCATCCAGCCCAGGAGTCTGGGAGCATGTCCTGCTCACCAGGGACAGCCCCGAAGACCTGCATACCAAACTGCTCCTTTGCAACGACCACTCATTCCCAGATTACCTGGTGTTTGCTCTTTCATACCTGCCCTACTACAGAACATCTCACCTCTTAACCAGCCCATCTTTCCTCCCTGAATCGCTCGTCAGCACAGAACCAGAAGAAGGCTTCGATGAAGGCAAGGCTGACATTAAGCAGGATGAGAAAGTCAGTTATCCAGCTGTCTCCACAGGGTATTTTCCATATTACAGAATGCATGAAGAGCTTCTTGGTCAACCACTCACACATGGATTAAATACAGAGGAAAAAAGGCCTGATAACGATGGGAAAGATGAAAACAAAGGAGATGCTGAGTCAGTAAGTCCAAGGGCAGTTGCTAAAGTGCTCCCTGAGATTGCACAGTCAGGGACTGGGAGCACTGACCCCACCAACCTCAATACCTCCTGCTTGCCCTGGGGCTTTGCAGTAGCTGAATCAGACATAGAGATGTGCTATGTGTTGCCATTTCATGTTCTTTTAGTGGAGGGCATGCACAAAGAAACGCAGGATTTGTGCAAGCAGTGACTTTGCATGAACACATTTCTTGCAGGGCAGGAGCAGACAGAACCAAGGGGAAAAAGCTCCAAATAAAATAAGCCAAAGGCAAGAGTGAGAGCCCTTGCAGCTCCCTTTAGATATGTGTGGTGGGATGTCCCTGCTGTCTGAGGGAGGCACCTTGGTTCCCTCTATCATGGGAGCTTGTTTCGAAGTCTACGTGGTTAAATTTGGTTAAATACCTGCAAATTAGGTATGTATTTAATGTTTCTGAAAGGGTAGGAAGGGGGGAAGAGAGGTGGGAACATCTCACACCACATGGTTTCCCAAAATTAGGCCCTTAGGAGCAAAAACAATGAATTGTGCTCTGAGAACATCATGCAGGAGCAGAGCTACCTGCAAGGAAGAGATACCTGAGGCAAGGCCCCTGTCCCTTGAAACAGCCCTGTGGACCCTGGAGTCTCACTCTGTTGGTTGTGGATGACCTGTCCCATTGCTGCGGGTGACTGCTGTGTCCCCAAAGGCAGCGTGGTTCCCAATGTGGCCTCAACTGCTTTTTCATGCACTCGAGACCTTAGTTCTTGGCCCTGTACATGTGTTTTTCAGACTGTCCCACGGAGTTTGGAGCTGGACAAGAGGGCATGCTCTCCTATGAGCGATGAAGAGCCACCAGCCCAGCCTCTCCTAAGAGACAGCATCACTGCACACTGCCTGTCCACCAGCTACTTCCCCAGCGGGCTGCCAGCTCTGAACCAGCTCTTTCCTTCCAGTGGGTACTTCCCTTACTACCGGACAGAGGGAGAGCTCTGCACTGACCCACTTCTAGAGGGCAGGTTCTTCATCGGGATGGAAGCGCTGAAGAACAAAGAGGCAGGACAAGGGGGAGAAATAGGTATTTGGAGTCTCAGCTCCCGCTGCTTGGTGTGCTGAGAACAAAGCAGGGGGGTTTGTCTTTGTCAGTGAAAGACTGAGTCAACGCAGGCGTGAACAAGCTCTCGAAACCTACAACAGCAAGAAAATCTGCATGAATGTGGACTTCTCAACAAGTGGTAATCCAGCCTGTGTAATGACAGCAGAAAGCAGCAAAGGGAATGACTCTATGGGGGAATCCAGATAAACTTGCTGTAGGAAACATCCAAAAGGAGGAGGGTGAGGAAGAGAACTGCATTTTTTCTGTGGTTAACCCCAAAGGCTAGATGCTCACTTGAGGGATGTGCAGCGATGGGGAATGGCCAATGGGAAAGGAAAAGAAAAAGAGAGAGAATTACTTCAATCTAAGCTGCTTGGAGGAATTAAGCAGAGACATAATTTCCAGTAGGGATTGAGAAATACATTTCCTCTCCCATCCACTACAATCCTTCCATTGTATTAATGGCATCTGTTAGAGCTGGTTACTGCGTGCACAGGAGGAAAAAGCCATTTTCATCTCAATTCTTTGTCAGTAAAATTTTGTGGGCACATTTCCATTGTGTCTGTCTTCATTTCACTCGCACCGTCGGTAATGAAAATATGCTTGATTACTTTAATATGTGCAACTATGAGCTTCTATAAAACTTCAGTGTTGACCCTGGAAAACTGGGCAACAGCATCCAGGAACTACTTGGCTTTGGTGAGTCTCGACCCATTTACACCAGATGAGGATGTGACCAATATAAACAGGTCAGCTCGGTGTCTCCTTTGCTATTGTGAAATCTTGCAACACGTTCTTCTTACTGCCAACTCTGCCACCTCTGTGAGACACCACACAAGTTGATGAAAGATGGCTCTTTCCCATTCCTGCTCTGTGCGTAGATGCTTTCTGTTCAGAATGATGTGTTTATTCCAACCATTTAGTTAATCTTTGAGTGCTTCTGTAATGATTACACACAGCTTAAATGTACCAGCGCTACCTATTTTCTCTTAGCAATTGTAGAAGCAAAATGCATTGTATTTAGCTATTTCACATAGAATCATGGAATGAATCATAGAATCCCAGCCTGGTTTGTGTTGGAAAGGACCTTAAAACTCATCCAGCTCCAACCCCTGCCACGGGCAGGGACACCTTCCACTAGAGCAGCTTGCTCCAAGCCCCTGTGTCCAACCTGGCCTTGAGCACTGCCAGGGATGGGGCAGCCACAGCTTCTCTGGGCATGACTTCTGCATCCCTGCATCCCCATGGGCACCTCAGTATCATTCTGCCACCTTCCCACTGAAAACCAAGATGCATCAGACTCTGGATGAACCAAGTCAGGCTGCATGAGAATAGCTTCCGGTTTTAAGCACAAAGAAGGCCTGCATCTTGGGTATGCTGAAAGAAAGCCATGCAAAACATAGTGAAATTATCCAGACTCAAGGGATCAGGCAGAGGAGGAAGGAATTTTGTCTGAAAAGTAGGTGTGATTTGTTCTGAGAATATTAAATTCAGCATTTCCATAAATTTGGCCTATTAAAATAGTTCAAACTACGTAGTATCACATCCACAAATCTGCCTTACTTCCACTAGATACAAATTAGCTGCTTTCTATTGCCTGTACTTGATAAGTTATAGGAACAGTGAACATCAGAAATCAAGGATTTGGGAGATGAGAACATTAGAAGCTTTACCCTTACGGATCAGAAAAGCCTAATTTTAATCAAAAGCTGGAAAATATCATATCATCCGTTGCCATCTGGAAATCAGAGCTGAACAAAACTCATGATTTTAATATGTTTTCCACACAGCCTTGCTCAGAGGTAAAAAGGAAAGGATGGAGGGCAGTGTTGGAAGCTTCTGTGTTTCTCTCGAAGGCTTATGCTCCTTTATTACTTTTCCACACAGTTAACATCCTGTACCCAGGCAGCAAATGGATCCAGCTTGCTACCCTAGAGAGGACATCATGTGCCTTTACCCCAAGAGAGGTCCTACTCATCTGTAAATAAACAGTGCAGTTCAGCTTTGTGTGCTGGTAATGGACTTCCTTTCATCTTTGTTTGAAAAATTCATCGTTATTGCTCTAAACCTTTAGTCCTTCCATCCGAGTGGTCCTCTGGAGTTTGAAAGGCAATCCGTAATTACTTTGATGCATGCTGTGGAGTCTTCATTGATCCCATTTAAGCTTTTAATCTCATGCATTCACAAACCTAATTCATATACCAAACCAAACAAACCACAGCAAAATGTG